GGACTTTCATTTAACTTCTGTCCATCCAATTAAATATTAAATACAATTCACCTTTGAATCATTATCGATATAAAACAAAAACAATACATCCTCACGACGCAAACCAATAATTGAATGTAGAATATATTTACAGTGGCTGAAATTAGATGAAAAAATAAAAATTTTAAAACAGTCCAAAAAATGGAATTACTTAATTTAATGAACGGTCATTGTTCACTAACGTAAGTTTTCCAGATATATTCTAGCAAATTTTCAAATGATACTTAAAAATGCGAATTCAAATGTCATCCATAATTGTCATCTGATTTTTAAGACGACGACCCAAACGTCGACTGAAAACTGCTACTAATCAGAAACTTCACTGATCAGTGATCATGATCACGAAACTTCATCGATCCGTTGCGGAATGCGAACAATACGATCGTATTTCTGAAGGAGTCTACCTTCTGAGAATCCTGTAGAGAAGTGGTGCGGACAAGTTAGTGAAGTGCTCGGCACCGAACTCACTCCATCGTATCGATATCAACTGCGCGCATTTGTCTCTCAACTCCTCAAGGCCGTTCTCCTCACAAAACTGGTAAATCCGAACACAATTGCCCACATCCAACCGACCAGTCAGTAATCTTACACATCTACAATAACACAGAATACGACACCGTTCATGATTTCGCCTATCCGTTTTCCGACAATTCAAGGAGAATAAAATTAAAGGTTACAAAAATTTTACAAAGTTTTGATTAAAACATTTGGAAATGAGCAATTTTAAACGGAACATTAAATTAGGTTGAAATCAAACATTCATTTGAAATTAAAATATTCTGCGGAAAAAATTTCAGAGTTCAGAGTTTATCAAGTGAAATGAAGAGAACTTATTCAAGTAGTCATGTCCACAATCAAACCATCAAATGTTCAAAATTAACGGGCAGAAAGATTCGTCAGAGATATCAGTGCATGAATAATACCTTTCTTTAAGATCATAAAAACGATATTCGATAGCAGCTGATAAAATATCCATTATGATTTGATCGCCGAGTGTCGTATCCAAACGATCCGTGTATATCCATTTAAGTAACGTACATCCAACACTATACGAGATATCTGCTGTGTTAATTCACTCATCGATTATATTCGCTATTTTACCTTTCATTATTATAAATACAACTTTCCGAATTCAAAACGGCAACAACTTCTATAGACTGTTACTATTCTTACTGAATTAATAATACTGTTCGAAATGAAGCATCCTCATCGTCATTTAATAGTTGTTAAGCAGAAATATTCGGCGACATTATTCGATCATTTCAATGGTAGAAAATCAAATTCTGTTTGATCAGAAATTTGATCGATTACCTTTGAGTTCAATTCGATCAGTCATCGACAGATCGTTCCAATAATCAGTCCGGGCCGCTATCACAAATCGATGCCCTCTCAACTGATGACCATCACAATGTATTGTTATATCACTGCAATTTCAAACAGCCACTTCTAATGTGTCACCGAACATATTACAAGTGAAACTGTTGAAATACGGAGGAACAATTCATGAAATTGATAAAAACACATGAAATGCGTAGAGCAATCGAACTGTTTTGAATAAATTCAAAACAAAACTTTTGTTTTTCACTAATGGAAAGTGTTACCTGTACAAGTCTTTTTCATACAATTTGGCGACACTCGAAACCAATTTGTTGACAAAAGATAGTTTATCATTTTTGGTGTTATTGGAATCGGAATCTTTGGTGCACGACGCTTCCAGAATATCGTATCGCTTCTGCAGTTCTTGGAATTTCAACTGCAACTGTAGGTGTTCCTCTCGAAGCAGCTCCAAATGACTGGCGGTCATACCCTCTGCTCTTGGCGCCTTAACTCCTCGACTGAAACCAAAACTTCAATCGACGATATCAGAGAAGAACAACTGGCACCGAACACAACGATGATCGAATGAATTTCCATGCCAAAGTCTAATAAATCGCTAATAAATCGATGAAATTTGATACGAATCACAACGGTAGTGCTGCTGCTGAACATTGTATACATTACAGTGCGTATTATAAACAAAACATTAGTGCGGTTGTTGACTTGACTCGAGCAAGAAGTTGAAACATACTCAGCACAAACATTCACAAATTTCAGAGCTTATCAAGGGAAATGAAGAGAACTTATTCAAGTAGTCACATCCATAATCAAACTATCAAATGTTCAAAATTAACGGGCAGAAAGATTCGTCAGAAGATTCATCAGTGCATGAATAATACCTTTCTTTAAGATCATTAAAAAAATTATTTTCGTTATCGAAATTAACGTTGATTTCAATAAGGGTAACAATTTTTCATCAGAATTTTGTTAAGTTGTTTGAAGATATCAATCAGCATTTGATTGGTTCAATAAGCGGATAAAATTGTGAAATTTGGACGCGCAGGATCGAGAATTCTGCAAACTGCAAACAACATTTCAGTTGATCTAAACTCCAGATTATCTCCGACTGATAATATTGAAGTTTTTACACTTGAACCTTAAACGTGCTCAATGGGAACGGTTGAAAAAACTGAAATACGTGTAGCAAAGAGTGAAATTTGTAAATTAAACTCAATTATTAAATAAGTACGTCATGAATGAATCATTTTTAAAAATTACTATTCTAGTCGAATACTCGATTAGTGATTGAAACGACAATGAGGGGAATTTTTTCGGCGGCGAAACAGCCATTCAAAAAGTAGTTTCATGGAAATTTTACTCACTAAATCAGCTCTGAAAAAAAATTTTGAAACAAAATATTAATTGCACTATTAATCGCTCGGTTGGGATAAAAGAAGCCAAAGAGCTCTTTCGTACGCGCGCGGCCCCGAGTGTTTAACGGTGAGAGAAGGAGAGGAAAACGCTTCGTAAAAGCGCACAAAACGAACGGAATGAATGTAACCGTGAAACCTAATAACGAGAAATCATCGTGGCGCAACCTTCGCGTTTGATTCCAGATTTATTTCTCTACAAGCACAGAAGGTTTCAGGAGAATTCATCGTCTANTTTTCGAGATTGTAACTTAAAATCAACCTTCAATAGGAAAAACAACGTTCTCGTTAAGTGTGGGAGTGGCTAACTACCGTAGTTTGTGGGCGTGACCAATCACCGTAGTCATTCAGTCCCGAAGTTGCTAATCCCGTTGACTGCAACAACAGTGGGTGTGGCTAGTTACCGTAGCTGCTGCTAGCTATTGGCTAGCAACATTGATGAAACGTTCTAGGAATGTTTAACTGCGCCCACAATGAAAGCAAGCAACGGGAGTAGTGCGTCTGGGGTTAAATGGCTTCGGTGACTAGCCATACCCACAGTTAATGCATCTAACGGGATTAGAACCTCCGAGGCTAAATGACTACGGTAGGTAGCCACGCCCATGGTTAATGCAACCAATGGGAGCAGTGCCTTCGGGATAAATGACTCCATCAAACTGTCCACTGCTAACATAACCTTGTAATAATCAAAAATCAAGGTAATTTTCATAAATTTTAAATCCAACCAATTCATATCTATCAAAATAACCTCCTTCTGAATACAACTTCATCACTTCAGATTCCATCGTTCTTGTGAGGTTCATCAATTACCTTAGTCAGATTTTGTTTCAGAAGCGCTGTACAGATACTGTGCAAATTCTGATACGAAACCTCACCACGGCGTCCGAGGAGAAATGCCGAAGGTCTTTCTCGATGACACACACTCTACGCAGATGAGAAAATTGGAC